AAATTGGAAAAAATGAAAAAATTTTACTTATAAGGGTTATTATGACATTTTACACCAAATAAAAACATATTTTATGCAAGTCCATAGAAGTAGTGGAAATTTAAAAATAATATATTGAATAAGACTAAAAATTTTCGACGGGCTCAAAATTTTATTGTTTTAAAAATTTCTTTTCAGGTTTTTAATCAATTAGGTTAGAAATAAATTAAAAATGAGTAACTAGAACAATTTAATTCTAAATAATTATTAAACAAATCGGGATTTTTTTTAATGCAGTTTTTTAAATTTTTAGATTTTTTTTTGGGGTCATCTACATTAAAGGGTTAGTTGTCGAAAATGTTAACAGAATCTGAAATTTTTCACCGGGGAAAAAAAGGGTTTTCTTTTTTTCCCAAAAACGAAAAAAAAAAAAGCAAAATGTGTTCATAAAAAAAGATATATGATCCTCGGGTTGGAAAGAACTCTTTTTTTCCCTTTTAATCTTAAATTTAAATTACTTAAATGTCGGGTAAGAAAACTTACATTTCAAGCCTATTTTTCTTTTTTAAAGCAAGCATTTAAAGGGCGGTTAAAATTTTTTTTCTTTAGATATTTTAAACACACTCCCTCAAATCCCAGAATCTCCTGCCCCTTTAGAAAACCAACGCCCCACAACAATGAATGGGTGTTGTTTTACATGATCATTTCCTACCGTAATTTAATTAAATGTATTTAAAATAAATTTTGATGCTTTGTTTTGTCAGAAACCACCACCTTTCACAATAAAACAGTAAAAAAAAAATTTGTGTTTTTTTATTAAACTTTTCAAATTTTTTTAAACCTTTTTAAAAAAGGCTTTGGTGCCCCCTCTTCCTTTTAGCCATGCCCCCCATTGGGGCACGCGTGCCACGGGGTTTTTAGTTATTTTATTCTGAAGGCCCTATCAAAAAACAATTAAATTAAAATTATTTATCAAAGTATCGAAAATATAAACAATCAACGTCCCTACTTCAGCTGGCTGCTTTAAAATTATCAAACGTTGACCAGTTAGCGACGATACAAAGGTTGAGAAGCACTTGGTTGAGAGAAGCACGTCCCTAATATTATGTTAATCCCATGAAAAAGTTATCGCGTGGTATTGATGTCATTAAACATATTACATTATTGTTTGATAAAAAAAAAGTATATGGACACATTAGTGAATATGCTGTATATAATAGTGAGACGCAACAATTTTTTTAACCCACGTAAATTAAAAATTGTTACATAGCAAGTTGAATTAGAGAGAGATGAAAAGAGATTATTTGAATTCTTATTTGTATGTATAATTAAACATATTAATGAGATATCAAGTAAACGTACAAATGATGCAATTTATTTGAACGTTTTTATCGTAATTGTGTAGAAGTGGTCTAGCATATAAACGGGCAATAATTAATTGACATCCAATTAAATTTACCAGTCTTTATCCATTAAAGGCTTTTTAATTTATTTTTTTTGACTAATATGTATAGATGTCTATCTCATCAAATACATAATTATATGGTACCAAATATCCTTGAAAATCTCTTTCTTTTAACATCATTCTCTGATTATTAACCATGAAAAGTAATTCATCAAATAATTTTAGATATGTGTTGAATGGTCTTTAATAATTTATTGTTAAAAAAAAATTCTGGATCATATGGTATTGCTTGTAATGCATTTGTGAGTGTTTATTAAGGTATCCGACTACGTTCGGAATCGTGATTTTAAAAAAGCGCATAAATGGATAATTTTCATGATATTTAGTGCCACTTAGATTAGAATACATGTACAAGATTGTTTTAAGGACATTTTGACAAAAAAAAAGTGATTTAAATACAATATTTCGGCAAAAAATTAACTTAGAATAACCTTTTTTCAAAATGTTCTCCTTTTGTGAAAAATACTTCTATTATAATAATATTATGCCTGTATATAGCTCAGATCTCTGTACAGAGGCTCCACTATGATTTTTGAAAAATTCACATTATTTTCAGAGTTACAACCCATTGAAATAACTATGGGCGTTTTTTTCTTAAAATTTCTTCCCTCTGTTGTCGTAAAACATGGATAAGCCCACTTCTAAGTTATATATATCAAAAATTCTAGTTGAGCCTCTGCACAGAGGTCTGAGCTATAGACAGGCAAAGTATTATTATAGTAGAAGCATTTTTTACAAAAGGAGACTGTTTTGAAACTTGGTCATTCTATGTTCATTTTTTGTCAAAATATTGTACTTAAATAATTTTTTATTGTAATACTATTCTTAAAACAATTTTAAATACATTTTCTAATCTAAGTGACACGAAATATCATAAATATTATCCATTTATACACTTTTGCAAAATCACGGTTCCGAACGTAGTTGGATACCTTAACATCGTACTATAAAGGAGCATGAGGGCTATTGATGACGGGTTCCGTAATTTTGAACTTCGGTCAAGTGACAAAGACCATACTTGTTACGTCAACGAGAGGGCTTAGCCTCTACAGATGTAACGTGCATTAGCCCGGATCATCAATGGCACTAAGACTCGAGCTTTTGACTCACCGGTCACGAGTTCGTCACCATAACCACTAGGCTACCTCAGAATTAAGAAACACTTGTTATCATGATAGATAAGATAGGTGCTGTCATCACGGACTGCAAATTAATTCTTCTATATTTGCTGTTGTTGATCTTCATATAAAAAAGACTGCTCACAGGTATATGTTGATCCAAATGTAAAGAACATTTTCTGTCTGTTTGGGTTTTTTCTGACTGTCCTAGTGGTCCTCGAAAAAACTCTTTGCTGCTGGGCGCTATTTGCCCATCCCTGTATTAAGTGCGTTGTTTCTTTACCTTCTTCACATTATATCATGAATTTTAGACTTAAGAAGAACAAAATTTAAGGTATCCGACTACGTTCGGAACCGTGATTTTAAAAAAGCGTATAAATGGATAATTTTCATGATATTTAGTGTCACTTAGATCAGAATACATGTATAAAATTGTTTTAAGGACATTTTGACAAAAAATTATTTAAATACAATATTTTGGCAAAAAATTAACTTAGAATAATTTTTTTCGCAAATGTTCTCCTTTTGTGAAAAATGCTTCTATTATAATAATATTTTGCCTGTATATAGTTCAGACCTTTCTACAGAGGCTCAACTAGAATTTTTGAAAAATTCACATTATTTTCAAAGTTACCACCTATTGAAATAATTATTGGCGTTCTTTTCTTAAAATTGCTCCGCTCTGTTGTCGTAAAATATGGATAAACCCACTTCTAAGTTTTATATTTCAAAAATTCTAGTTGAGCCTCTGTACAGAGGTCTGATCTACATACAGGCAAACTATTATTATAATAGAAGCATTTTTCACAAAAGGAGAACATATGAAAAAAAAATTATTCTAAGTTAATTTTTTGCGGAGATATTGTATTTAAATAATTTTTTTTGTCAAAATGTCCTCAAAACAATTTTATACATGTATTCTAATCTAAGTGACACTAAATATCATAAATATTATCCATTTACACGCTTTTGCAAAATCACGGTTCCGAACGTAGTTGGATACCTTAAAAGAAAAGATACAAGAGAAATTTCTTCCTATCAGTTAGATGACAACCCGCATATCTTAAGACGAAACCCTAAAAAGAACAACTAATTTTTATGCCCAACCAAATGGATCCCTTCCTTTCATTTCGCCTGGGCGACTGCAACTCAGCGGAGCGGAACTGCTCAAAACGTGACCAGCATGATGGGAAAATTTGATGGAATTGCAGCCGAATGGACCGTGCAAGACCATTAGATGCTTGCTTCGCAGAATGGACAGATGTTCACAGAAAAGCAAGGATTTGATACGGTCTTAAATCGGTTCTAGTGAAGTCGACCTTTGAGTAACCCGGTCTCGGATTTTTTTTTCAAGGAGTATATTTTCTTTTCACAGTTGGAGTTCGGATTTTCATGTTTTGAAATATCTTCCATTTTCAATGTTTTTAACTCTTCTTATTATAATATTTGTAAACAAAGAAATAAGTTCGTTAAAGGGTATTTATTTTTTTCTGCTTTAATGAAAGCATATATATGCTAATAATTCATTTCGTAGAACGGATTACCTTATGAAGAATATATTATAGGACGTGTTCATTATTAAAGATTGTGTTTTCAACGTAAAGTTTTTTTTCTAAGGAGTATTGCATAAGGCTGTGTTATCCGTAAGGCTGTCTATATGAATGCGAGTGAGAGTTGTATTAGTGTCGTACTTTTAAGCTGCATGAGGGCTATTATCGACGGACCTCGTAATTTTGAATCATGGTCAAGTGACGAAGACGACACCTGAGGAGGACCAACGGGAGGACGTCTGAGCCTCTACAAATTTTACGTGCCGAACTTTCCGATATATTAGAAAATGACATGTTGACAAAAAAATTCATTCAACGGGAAAAATACTCGTTTAAGATAATAATTAAAAAGAATGTAAGCGTAATTAGCGTATTTTTGTTGGAATTATTAAGAACGTTTCATATATTTAAGTTGTAATTTTTTTCTTGAATATTTCGTCCTCCTTTTCATTGTAAAAAAATGGTCACCTTATTAATGTGATTTACCTGAAAAACACATAGGGGAATAATATCATATTCTTTTCTTTCAATATAGAGATTAAATGAACCTTCTGGTTCATTCATAATTTTTCACTTTTCTACAACCTTTCTGGGCTTGTGGATATTTCATTTATTTTAATTCCTACTATTAGTTCACATTCTCCCTATATATATTTATATTTATTTATTTATATATCTTGTTCAAATTTTCAGTCGTTAATAAAATACTTTCTATTCATCCATTCAAGTTCAGATACATTTTTTAAAACATGTAATGGTTGACACTTGATGTTAATGCAGTTTTTTCAAATATTAATTTATTAATGAAATTAAGAAATAAAATAGTAACAAACAGAAATAATAGTCCAACTCTATATAGAGAAAGGAAAATCGTTCGTTGTGTCCCTCAAGTGCAATGGATAGCGCGTTGGACTTCTAATCCAAGGCCATGGGTTCGAATTCCGCCTGAAATGGCCTAATTTCTGAGAATGTGATTTCTTTTTTGCTATACCATTTTATTAGAATAATTAAATTTTATGAATGAATAAATAGGAACAAACATCCCCTATATAGAAAGGAAATTAGAAAATTGCTAGGAAAATCGCTTTCTATTTTGCCACTTAATAGTGTGATTCTGTCATATTTATATACATATTTTTATATTAATTGTAACTATCTAATAAAAAGTAACTAAAGAGTAAAATGTTTCTTTGTTGACCTGAGCAGGAATTTACTTAATTTTTTTTTTTGTGTTATATTACTTTTTACAATCAAATTAATTTGAGAGCATGAATTACTAAAAATTGGAGATGGTGTTCTCCAAATTAGTATGTTATTCAAAAATTTGTAACAATAATTCTTTTAATATATAGAGTATATATTTAATATAATATAATAATATTTTCAAATATAGAGAGAAACTGCATTGATTCATAAACTATATTTTCTTTTTTAAAAGGAGAAAGAAAGAGAAAACTGTCTACTTTTTAGCAAGAAGCTATATTTCCTGAGTTTATTTTTCCCGATACAATTTAGAGAGGCTTCTGTGCAAAAGGATTTCAAAGGACAGAAAAGTAGTACTGAAAAACGTAACTGATAATTCACGAATTAGGAAATATTTCAGCAATTTTTTTCTCTCTTAAATTTCACAATACACGCAGAATTAATAAAGATGAACCCCTGACTGGCCGACAACGGATTTCCTGGCCTTATTTTTAAGCTATGTTGCCATTACCAGAGTGGACAGATTAATCATGTTCATGTTCATACTGACATAGATATCATCGCCAAGGCTCAAATATAGCTCTATTTTTAATTGCAATGATAAATTCATATTTGATTGGTTCATTTGTAATTAATTTTTTTCAATCGCTGAATTTAGTGTATAAACCGTAATCGTTTGTAGAGCATTATAAATATTTCGTTATATATCCAATGTCAGTAAAAAAAATTTTAAGATAAGAAACATTATATAAAGGGTTTTATTTACAATTTTGATTTGTGGTCTCTTATATTTTCGAGTAATTCAAAGCTATTATTATAATAAGTTTTCTCTCAGTCAAGGTCAAAATGTTGCCCTCAAAATAATCTATCAGTTTAAAGGTTAATCGCAGGAATCATAAAACGAAGCGAAGCGAATTAATTCCGTTCCATAGAATAAGCAAAAGTCGAAAATTTATTCAAAGTAAATTGCTTGTGATAAAATATATAAGTATACTAAGTTATTTGAACTTGAACACACGATATGGATGAGTAAATTTGTTAATAATGATGTAACTGGATGATAATATGAGAGAGAGGAAGCATAAATATAAATTATTATTTTCGCATCTGTTAATGACAAATGCTTTGGGTTGTATTCAAATTGTCTTAAGAAAGAAATGTTTTGCACAATTCAGTAGTTTAAAGCTCATTTATCCGAAAAAGGAAGATGAAATTGTAAATCATTTACCGATTTTATTTTTATCCATATAATGATTTATATTTTCTATTACAAATTCGAATTCCAACTTTAAAAAATATTTTAAGTGTTTGAATTTTATAAATATTAAACAAGGCTGTAATACTAAAAATTCAGTTTAATAAAAAAATGTTGCTTATAAACTATTTATTAAATAAGCATAATTTTGATATTTTTCAGTATAAAAATATATTTTTCGAGTGAATCATATTTGAATTAAACTGTATGCAAGCAACTTCGCAGAACAAAAACAGCAAACTCGAGGCCGCATGCAAGCTCAATAAGAACAACAACAATTTTGCTATTTCCGATTGTGTATAATTATTATTAATGAATCATAATGAAATTATCACTTAATACTTATTAATAGTGTGCATGTTACCGTTAAAGTGTGAAATCCGTGATTTCATAGAATAACTAGCTGTATCATGAAATAACCAGATAAGCTAGTTAAAGTATATAAAACTATTGTGAATTCTACGATTTATAACTAGGTATTTTATTGAATAACGATTACTTGATCGTTAAAGTACGAAATATTGTACTCGAAAGTTTTTTGAACTGGTTCTAGCTGCTTTTAGATAGTTTTGAACCACAATTCAAAGTGTCACCACAGCAATCCTTGCCCTAATAAATAATGAAAAGTAAAATAAAGATATTTCGTAAAATTTAAATTGTTCTCTGACATTTTTGTTTGAATAAGTTTACACACAGTGTTTTTTATGAAGAAGCAGTTTTTCTTCTCAGCATGTATTTTTTTTGTTGATAATATTTAAATATAACTATTTCTGAAACATATTTTTTCCCTTTCCGTTTAACTAATGTTAGTACTATGAGCAATAATAAATTATATCATCTGTGCTTTTCCTTATTATTTAACAATTAATCATACGTAATAAGGATAAAATGTATTTTTTACAGAGATTTTTGCTACTTATGATCTATTAATTTATGAAATAACTTTGAAATAGTTTATTTTTTACTCAAACGATATATCATTAGTTATTTCATGAATACTAGTTCTTTCATAGAATAATTAGGTAAAATATGAAATTTTTCATCTATAATATACTTTAACTGACTTGTCTAGTTATTTCATGAAATACCTAGTTATTCTATGAAATAACTGAATTACATACTTTAATGGTAACATGTATATAATACATTTATATAATGATTCTGTGTTTCAGTTCTCTTGAGAGAGCTTTTTAAATTCATTTTGACCCTGAACTCTTCCAGACATCACGCTGTTCTTTTTCTACCCACTTAACAAGAATACTATTTTAACTGCGACTTAAATTTTTTAAACAGAGCTATGTTGTCTTGTGCTATTTTCGTTATGAGCTGATGCAACAACTACACCATCCACCAAATGCTAAGATTAAATCATGTGCTTTATAATGTTATTGAAACTCTTCGTAGGCTTAAATAATCTAACTCTTTTGGATTAAAAAGCACCTTCGAGAGGCTGCCTCCAAGCTCCAAACCACCCCAATAAGAAAGCCCCCACTCAGATCTCTTCCTCCAAGCAAGAGAATCCCAAATTTTCATAAATTCAGATATCTTCACATATAAGATTGTGAGTCCTGAGGACTTAGTTGCCCTGTGATTAAATTGATCCACTGGATTTAGGTATCCGACTACGTTCGGAACCATGATTTTAAAAAAGAGCATAAATGAATAATTTTCATGATATTTAGTGTCACTTAGATTAGAATACATGTATACAATTGTTTTAAGGACATTATGACAAAAAAAATTATTTAAATGCAATATTTTGGCAAAAAATTAACTTAGAATAACCTTTTTTCCAAATGTTCTCCTTTTGTAAAAAATGCTTCTATTGTATTAATATTTTGCCTGTATATAGCTCAGACCTCTGTACAGAGACTCAATTATAATTTTTTCAAAAATTCAAATTATTTTCAGAGTTACAACCATTTAAAATAATTATCGGCGTATTTTCTTAAAATTTCTCCCTTCTGTTTTCGTAAAACATGGATAAACCGACTTCCGAGTTATGCATTTCAAAAATTCTAGTTGAGCCTCTTTACAGAGGTCTGGGCTATATACAGGCAAAATATTAATACAATAGAAGCATTTTTTACAAAAGGAGAACATTTGGAAAAAAGGTTATTCTAAGTTAATTTTTTGCCAAAATATTGTATTTAAATAATTTTTTTTGTCATAATGTCCTTAAAACAATTGTATACATGTATTTCTAATCTAAGTGGTGACACTAAATATCCTAAATATATATTATCCATTTACGCGTTTTTGCAAAATCACGTAGTCGGATACCTTAAAAAAAAGGAGAAAGCTTTTGTCCGTCCTTAGTTTCCCTCGCATGTTTTTGTGTTGTCGTTTCTGTCTTAACGATTTATGAATGTCTTCTTGGGTAATGATTCGTCTCTTTAAGTATCATCCACAAATAAATGTGATCACACAAGTGTTAACACATGTCTAAGTATTAAATTTTAAAAGTAGTTTTGTGACATTTTGATACAATTGCTAAACCAAAAGACTACTTGGTGGTTCACAAATCTTAAGGCTCCACGCTACCCTTTTCAAAAGAAATTTTTGGGAGACAGTTACAGTAAAAATAATTGATGTTTTACATTTAAATTTTATATTATTAAGTTAATTCTGTAAGGAAACAGTCAGTTTGACCAGCCATTATTTTACAATTTTAAAAATTAGAATTTTGAATTTTTTTTAAAACCCTTTTATAAAATACTCAATTTTTAAATTTTTAGCCATTTTAATTTTTTTATTTTTAGGTTATTGCAAACAAAAGTTAGTATGGATTTGAAAATCTATTTCCCTTGTTGATTTTAATAATTATTTTCTAGAAAACCTGCAAAAACCGAAAATTTTTAAAATATAAACCCTTTGGCATTTTTAGAAAAAATAACTAGAGATCTCATAGCTCTAAATTCATACTAACTTTTATAGAACATACGTTTGGGAGTATAGACAAAAATTCAAGGCTCTATCTTGAACGGGGAAAAAACCTTAGGGATTAAAAAAACTTATACCTTCAAAATTGAAAGTCTGAGAAAACCATTTAAAAATTTGTAAAGTCATAAAACAAAACTTATAATGCCCGAAAGCTCTAATTTTAAAAATGTTATTTTCCAAAGTATGTTCTGCATTAAAACACTATTTTAATTAAATATGACTGAAAATAATATTTTTAATTCAAAATATATTTTTGCATAATATTGATAGCATTTGTTAAGACGCCAGTTTATTCAGCTTATCTTAACCTAATATTTTTACAAAAGTTTTGAAACACAAAACATTTAAGTACAAAATAACAATGATACTAAATTAAGCTAAAAATAGTCAGGTTTGCTCATAAAATTTAATTTTTTTCAGTTTTAAATGGTGCAGTTTAGGAAGTTTTAGCTCTTGCCGTACGACTTTAAAATACTAAAATATAGTGTTAAAATATGTTTAGTATAATGTAGAGTTTGGCACATCAAGGAAATATTCGGTTATATTTGCAAC